AAAAAAAAGAATGACAGATCTTGGTGAAGGATCAGATACAACAGTGAAGGGGGAAACACAGAATCGTAAAAAGTAAGTTAGAAACAGCAGCAGGGCACCAGCTAACTTCTGTGAGGGGCTACGGCCAGCCTGGTTTTGAAAACGTGGACTTTAATCCCACATCCTCTCAGGCAAGGTTTAATTGCAAACAATGGAAACTGCTCTRCCTGTTTTAAGCAGTAATGGATTTAATTTCCAGAATTAAATGTTCTCTCGGTTATCTCTCAGTGCATACCAAACCCCTGCAAAGCTCCGTGGTTTCTGAAGAGAGCTCTGTACTTTGCACAGAGTTGTATGGGCTGGTGCCCTGGGCTGGGCTTCGCTGGGCACTTCTGGTCTCGGCTGGGTCCGCCCTTGTCTGCRGTCACTTGTGCATTGGCCAAGCAGCTCTGCTTCTGGCTGTTGGTTCAGGATGTTGGAGGCCCTGGGCTCCATATTTTCCAATATTTAGCAGGCTGGCTTGGGCTATTGCATGGCTGCTGGGAGGATACAAAAGAGAAAATTCATCTAAGGCCTCTGAGGGCTTATACTCTGAGTGAGCATGATGCTCCCTTTCCCCATCCTGTTGTTAAAACAAGTCTCAAATCCAGTCCAAGTTAGTGGAAAAATAGATTCCACTTCTTGATGAGGAGCTGCAGAGTCTCTTTGCCAAGAAATGTGGATGTAGGGATGACTGGGGGATGGTCTCCATTTCGGGAAACAATCTAGCCGGGCACTTACAAAAGCATTCAAGGACCTGAGGACCTAGGACCTGCTTAGCCTCTAGGACTGAGTCTGGAGCCGGCCCACCCGGGGGACTTCCACCTCTGTCACCATCAGGAAACGGGCCAACTTGGACTACAACCAGCACCACTTGCCAGGTGATACAGCATCATCATTGTGCTCCCAGGACKAAGAGGCCGCTCTGCTGTGGCCTGGCAGCCCCTGCCCTGCCACATCCAGGAAGGCAGCCACTGGAGCCTGAAGCCCCACAGAAGGAAATTCCACCCTCTTAGCTACAGAAGTGAGGAAGGACAAGGCCTTCAGCTGCCACATGCAGGTGCATAAAATTGGGGGGACCCTGATTTCGTTGTAGTTTCAGCTGCAAGGGAGTCGGGCACACGAGGAGGTACTGCAGAAGGAGTTTGGAGTGGAAGCTGGCGATGGACCATGACTCGTCGCTCCGGGGAGAAATGGTACAGAAGCAACCAGAAGGCCGTGACTAACTCCGGGAGGGTCTGAGGTCTGGGCCATGATCTGAGAAGTCATGAGTTCATGTTGGCACTCACACCAGGGCCAGACAGCCCCACGGCTCTGTCATGTGGCCAGCATCCTCCCCCACCCTCACTGCCCCGTGCTGCTTGCTTCTGTAGAGATCACACCAGAGCTGAAATTCATGACTCGGTGGCTCTGGGAGTCCCGCCCTCCTCCTCTCCCCATGGTCTTGTTTTTCCCCCAGTGCAATATGGTGAGTAGGATTGTCACAGCCCCTTTGAGCCATAGAACCTACAAATGTTCCTGTGTCCCTTGCATGGGTACCACTCACCGCCTCTGGAATCTCTATTGTACACACAGTTCTCAGCAGATGGAGGGGTTTATTCGCTGGACACCTGCACTTCCAGCCAGGGAGCTGCCCCAGCTGCCCAACAGGTGTCCTGTTCCTCACTGCTGCTGAGAAGCTGCTGTGTCCATCCGGGAGACCCTCCTCCTCTTGCCCACACCCCACTCTCACATACCTGCCCCGTCCAGCCCTGGTCTGGACCTGACTGTCATAGCAAGGCCGTTTGATGGCTGAGATCTCAGTGAACCAACAAGCCCACCCATTAGAGAGACTCGTGGACGCTCAACACCAGCAGGATGGTTGGTAACAATGTCTGGGGACCACAGAGCTTTGTCCTGTGAGTTTATCCAGTGGAACTGTTGGGTCACCAGAGAGCAGGAAATAAAGGTGGAAAAGAAACATCTAGCAGTTAGAAGTCTCACCCCTCTGTCTGACCACAAAGATGAGACTTCAGTCAGGCCGTGCCCGGATGGAAACAAGATCAGCACCGGCCACCTGCTCGCACCCAGCAGAAGGGCTGCCATCCTGGGGTCAGGGACCTCCCCCAGCCCCGGATTGCTTCTTATTCCAGAAACCGACACAAGGCTTCCCCTTCCCTCCTCCTTTTCCAGATCTCAGTGCTGATTGTACATGTCCCTGCCCCCTCACCATCCCCGCAGGACCCTGACCCACAGCCACGGGAGGTTGTTCTGAAATGTCAGCACGACACATCTTTGTCCTCCTCGGCCTCGACCATGAAGCTCTCTGGGCTCTGACCTCCGCTGCCCCTCCAGCCTGGTCTCCTGCTCTGGCCCCTTTATTTTGTTTTTGTTTTTGTTGTTGTTGTGGTTGTGGTTGTGTGTGTGTGTTTAATTTCTTCATGATTCTTAACTTTATTTTATATTTGTTCTTTTTACATATTCATGACAGTAGCATGTGTTTTGACATGTCATACATGGAGTATAACTTCCCATTCTTGTGGTGGTRCAGGAGGTGGAGCTACACTGGTCGTGTGTTCATATATGAACATGGGAACGTGASGACCCATTCATTCTTCTGTCTTTCCTATTCCCATCCCCGAGCCCTTCCCTTCATTCTCTTTGTCTAATCCAATGAACTTCTGTTCTTCTCCCCGCCTTCCCTTGTTGTGGGTTAACATCCATGTATCAGAGAGAACATTCAGCCTTTATTTTACTTAGCATAATATTCTTTACTTCCATCCATTTACCC